TTGACCTAAACGCTTCTTTATCTACTTTAGGATTCGTTTACCATACCAATACTGTAAAATTCCTTCTCGTGCTCATTGCGAAACTGATTTTGACTTAATTGTCCAAGCTGATGGAATAAAATGAGATTTGATAAAATCTGTTCAAAAGCCACTGCAGTCAGCTTTCTTTTTATTTCTGTATTCTGCTGGAATTAACTCCTTAGGCGGCCGCGCACTTGCAAATAGATCCGATGAGCCTCCAGTAGCTGGTAGACATTGTTCCGGCCTCATTTATGCAGAAGTAGCATCTCATATTTTCACCGCCTAATTGTTACGAATTCTTATTTTGCTAAGGTGGTTTATGTGAAGGTAACATTCAGTCTACAACAGCGTTGTCACTAACCCTTTTATCATTTGTTGGGATAACAGTAAGCAACTGTCGAAGCGCCATCAACATTTGAACACGGCAGCCAGTGCAGTATGCACTGCTGTCGAGATGTTGCAAACCACCAGCCAAAAACGTCCGCATCGACCCAATCTGAACTGGCCGGTGTCAAAATCGACAAGGGTCATTAACATATTTCAAGGACACATGCACCGCAATGCGTCCGCACGTCGTATTCACACCCCCAGACATGCGTGGATGAGTAAATACAGTAGACTTACATGCCATTGGTGGGTCGGCAAATTAGTGCGCTCCAATCTACCCCTGACCTGCGCGTCGACTGAGCAAAAACGAAAGACTCTTCTCAAACGTACGGTATTTAAAGTGCACGAGAATTCACACAGGTCCAAACAGGCCACGGTTACAGATGCAATGATCGATGCAAACCAACCGGTTTAAAAGCGCTCAGTTGTCCAAATTCCGCCGAGGGTAGATTGTCCTTCAATAATCGACCGCTCCGTGCACAGGTAACCCTGAGGTTAATTCCGTGGCGCGCCGCGTCACTTTATGTCGCAAGTTCCAACAGGCGCACACGCACCAATCCGGCCAAACAGAGAGATTTGCGTGCGTTCGATAGAGCGCAATTCACAATGCGGCGTGAGAGCATTTGGTCAACTAAGGCGGTGTATGAAGATATAATTGCTTCTAGTTGTCTTGTGCAGCTACCAACAAGGTTAGTTTAGGTCTCTTGAAGTAGACCTAGCAATAAGCTTTCCGATAAGTCCAAAAACCTTGATGAAGGCAGAAAATTGGTGCACTTGTAGGCAAACGACCGTGCTGGATGCAACGGTTCACGCGTTAGAGTTAGGTTGCGAAGTTTTATAAACACCGGAAGCTTTCAAAGAACGGGAGATAAGCATATGCCTATGTAGTTGAAGCAGATTGTTCGCAGACACTTTTTGAAGACAGGGACGACTATCGGTTCACCCCGAGATGATGGAACCTCCTCATTCGGCCAAACATTCTAGAATAAAGCGGTGAATTCTCGAACCAGAAAATGGCTACCGTCTTTAAATAGAGCGGTAGGAAGACCATCAGGGCCGGTGCTTTATAGCGATTCATATGGCGGAACTCCTGCTCGAGTTCCTGATGAGAGGGAGGATCTGTGGGATAGACCACTCGGCAACAGTGCGAGCGTTAGAAGCAGATGGAGTTGGAGGACAACAAAACTGGTAGCTAAAATGTTCTGCCCATCGCTCCAACCGTCGTTGAGGATAGATGACTAAGGTGCCATACTCCTTGCATATTGTTTATCTTGTATCAAGTAGAACAATTTCGGGGTCTAGGATGAAATGGAAAAGTTTTTTTGGTATTACCAGAGAGACTAGCTAGTTCCATCACTAGCGCGTTCACATCACCAAGCTCCACAGTCCATTTGCACACTCTTGTACAACGCACGATCCAGGGATTGGCGTTCTTCACTATGGCTGGAATCAAACGGGATAAAGCGGTTTTTGTACATCAGCGACAAGGAGACGGCGGAAACCCAATTCTTCGGTGGGTGACGGGCGACAGCACAAGTGTCGATACGGGCGGAAACTAGGGCATCTTTGATATGCGCCCACTGCGAATCGAGGTCACCGTCAGAAGCTAAGCCACGTAATGTTGACAGTGGCTTGATATCTGGTTAAGATTGCAGGGCTTCATATATGTGTGACGTTCGGTCGATGGGGAGTGATCCTCCGAAACGCATGCAAATCTGAGTCCCTGGAAAAGCGCCAGTGGTATGTGACGTCAAGGTTTACCGGAGAGACCTTTCTGATGACAGCGGTAGAGTCTTGCAATCTGGTTTATGTAAGGTAACAGAGCGTTTCAGTAGTACGGGCCAGATATGCTTGTCGCCCAGTCTGCGTCTGAGTGCGAGCATTAAACGCTACGAGGATGAATGGAGTACCAGGTCGAAGAAAAACTGGGACTTCTGTAGGCTGAGAGACGGTTGCGGTCGCGGGACATTGAAAACCAAGAGTTTGGCGGTTACTTTCATTAGTAGCGACCAGTGAGTAGTTTGTGGCGGTGGCTAGAGAGGAGATAATAGTACGTGTAGGTGAAGGACTGGAGGTGGGGTGATCTGTGACTGGAGGTTGCGGAGTTGAGTTAGCAGAGCTGATAGACATAGCAACGAAAGCAGTAGTATAGTAGTGTGGTCCATGATTCCTCAGTGGGTGTGATAGCACCCGGTTGCCCAGGCCGATGTAGAGGGTTGCATTAGGGGGCCCTACCCCAAGACTTTGCTCAAAAATATAACCTACCGGGCAGCAGGGAGACGTAAGGGCGTCGTAACCGGTTGGCAGCTGGTAAGCAAACAAATGGTTCATGCGCCTTTCGCTCCGCGAAGGACCAAGGGCTCAAAGCACCCATGAACTTCGATGCCACTCACAAAGAGGCAATAAGCAGTGACTTTATTTAGTGGCTAGTCACATCCGCCAATTGGCAGTGTTGTTAGACGAATGTTTGTGGCATTTTATAGGGAGAAAACTTGCCAGACAAAATCGCACTATGTCCTGGAACACTGCCGCTCAACTAATTGCTGGGACGAGAAAGACTCGAACCACCTGGCTAACACCACGAGATTGTACGCCAAGCCTGCCTGCTGATGGCCGAGTGGTCTTTGCGTCTGGCTTACAATCACAAGATCACCGGTTCGAATCCGCGCAGCGGCGGGCCTCCTCTAGGTATACTCAGTGCACACGCGACTGGTGATGGTCGCACAGCAGCGAAGTGCTGTTACGGCGTACAGTTGATGATTAGACTGGCTTGTCGAACAACCTCCTTCTATATTAAATCAACCTGAAGACTCTAATATTGTACAGCGGTCATTTTTCGGAGCCTGAGGAACGCCAACCACATCTGCGGTCACCAACCGAAAGGTAGCAACAACGATACACAGACAGGCTAGCAGCTCAAGTTGGCCGCGTAAAGGTCGTCGTCACTTCCTATCTGCCAGTCACCGAGTGCACTCTCCAATTACGTTGTTTCCACGCCCAAAGTATCAATGCACAATAAACGTTTTGGCATTTCTTTAACTCCTTTGCATTACGAAATCTGTGTTCATGGCGAAACGGTATGACTTAGAATGGGCACAAACAAGGATTTCCCTTCACAGTCCAGGTGGGTTCACTTGCGTATGCCTCAATGTGAATACTACCAGAACGTCGTTCAATTTATTACCATGTTTTCTTTCCTACACTTTTGTTTTTCGTATTCTGACTATCCTACGGCACTTGTTAAGCGCTTGCTTTTTCCATCGCTTCCCGATATGCACTTCCATCCATCCGTCCATCCATCCTCGCACCTTGCTCGGTCTGTCACACCTGCCTGTCATCGAATTATTCTCGCCTTTGCACCCACCGGCCCCGTGACACCGCGCCCCCTTCTCTTGGAGTTAACCGTGAACTTAATGCATTGCAACCCTCTACGTATTGTGCATAACTTCGTTGCATAAGGTTCCGTGATCCAACATAAGCACCTGTGCGATGCCGTTTGCGGACTCTGGTCTTTATGATCATTGAAATATCAGGAGTTCTATATCTGAATACCTGGTTCAAATCGGACACGAAATTCCAACCAACAATGCTTTCAGCGTTTTCTACATCGTGCCGAACCCATATCCAAAGGTGAAACGCCTCCTAAAGATAGCCTAAGGGATAGCGATCAAGTTACCGCAACCAGAGCTTTGCAAGTCGTGGATTCTGTTGCAGTCTCTCACTTTGCCATGACCGTACAGAGAATTCATTTGTGTGGGACACTGATGACGACCGAGTGTGACTTGGCCTCGCGACCGGTCCATGGTTCGTGAGGAGATAGGCGCGCTCTGTCAGGCTCCCACCACCTGATCTGACAGCATGTACTTTTCTCAGTCCACTTTGTAAACGTATTTGCTTAATGTGATTTGCTGAAAAGAGAACTCTTTGCATCCCAGTTTCCTTCATGACTTGTCTACACAGTCACAAGTAGGGTGATTTGCATTCTCATTGCGCATCTTGTATAGAATCGGTTGTTTCCCTACTGAGTAAGTATTCTTGAGGTATTTCCTTATTGGATTTCGAATTCTAGTTGTGTAATTCAGTAAGGAAAGAAGGATAATGTGTCAGCTGTGCGTCGTAACGGCGCTCCGTTGCCGCGCGACCATCATCAGTCGCACACGGGTGGAGTATATCGTGATGATGCCCATCCCTACGCGGATTCGGACCGGGGAGGTTATGGTTGCAAACCGGGTACGTAAACCACTGAGCTACCGGTCGCGGAGTAGTTCAGTGGTTTACTTTCAACGTGGGAGTTCCACTAGTCGCTCCAGTCCAAAGCGAATTTATATTTCACATCATGCTTCCTTTGTACTTTATCTCTGTTGGAAAAGAAACCCACACAATGTATAGCCAGTAGTCAACATGAGGAATATTTGGAAAGTGTTAGAACAAATATCTTTATTAGTAGATTCGCAAGCTGTCTGAAAATAGTGTCATAGCAAGCAAAAGTATATGATTGAATAGTCCCAGGCAATACATCCGTGCTTTGCACCAGAGCAAATAACCGGAATGGATTCCGCTCGAAATGCAACCTAATCCTCAGCACGTTCACGTGAAAGTGGTGATAGTGTGACCTTGTACTGATCGATTGTGAGTTCGGAGCGATCGATAGCTCCATCGTTTCCTCAGAGCGAATGTAACGAATAAGCTAGCTATCCGCCTCAGCATCTCATATGCAATTTCTGCCTAACTTGAACTTGCTGATTGGTAAGACCATGACTAGGGTTCCTTCTCGGAGAAGGAACTGGTCTGCGACTACGCGTACCACACCTGATGACGTGCCAAGGATCCTTTAGTGCCATAGCCAGTAAACAATCGGATGCAATTGACTACTTAGCAAATTCTGCGAATTATCCCTGTTATTACGCAACTGAGAATAGCAATGAAGAGAAGAAATTTATAGCAGACTTGAAGAACTCGCCGTGGGTGAAGCATTATCGATCAGTGTGTGTCGAGATGAGCCGTGGGTCGCAAAGATTTAGCAAATCAAACGATAGTGTAATGCCAAACATGACCTCACACTGTGTGGTCCGCCCACCGCACGTTTACTCGGTAGGACAAAGAGTGGTATCTTTTATTCGAGGTGCGTTCCGTCGAAACTCAAACGTTTCGACTTCTGGGATCACTCGAGCCTCAGCGCAAACCGACCTTCCAAAGCACCCATGTACGCACTTAAAGAAACCACGTCAGTACCGTGGATCACAGCCTGTTACAGGATGGAAAAATCGGAAAGTGACTATTGGTAATGATGCGGTCTCTGAACTCATGACAACAAAGAAGAGCGATCAGTGTATGTTGTTTTCCACCAGGAACTCAGTTAGACATACATCGGAGCGAGGGAATATGACAAGATCAGCTGGAGCATCGACATCAAGTTCACGAGACCAAAGCAACTCACAGAATTCCACGCCAAATCCACGTCCTTCTGCGTTGGTTATTTCATCTTCCAATCGATCGAGAGAAGGAGTGGCCAAGCGAACCAGATTTTCCTTACACCCATCCACATGTAACGCACCTCCCGATTTAATTAGACCTCGCCGTGATAGTGAGGATACCGCAAACTCTGTATCCTCACTAGTTGACATGTCCCACAGGTCGGAAATAATATCAACTGATCTGACTTCCGTTTGCGGCGACAGCGCTTCATTCCAAAAACCAAGAACGTGTGAAAATAGTATATCCAGAAAGGCGCGCACGTTACTATCGGACTCAACTGCTAGGGACAAAGAATTACAAAAAGGCAAGCCATCTGAGCCTCCTAAAGCATTTCCCACTTCAGTTTATGAAGAAAAGAGGCACCAAGTCATGCCAGTATCCACATGTGACGGAGTAAAGACGAGCTTAACTAAAGTTCAAGGAACAAAACGGGGACAATGTAAAAAGCAACACACGATAACTAGCGTCACTCCCATGATGAAGATTGGATCTACCAAGCGCCCTTTCGGTGTTTCCACTGGCCTAAGACGTGCTTCCAGTACTACCGGAACACTTGATGAACGTAGAAAAGTGATACATCTATCTACAGGTTACCAGTCTAGTTCATCAACTCCCGTGTTAAATGTCACTCCTGACACGCCGGTAGTTTCGCCCGAAAGCCCATTGGAATCGTGCGGCACTCATCCCACAGATAACGAATCCTCTATGGTGCGTACCGTTGAGTGTGGAACGACCGACCATTTTAGACTAACAAGGTCAGGCCTGCGTAGTTTTGAACTGTGTTCGTTGTCACGTTCTACTCAATCTCCTGGTTTAACTAAAGCGCCTTCTAATTGTCTACAGGTGCAACGCCACGGACCGTATCGGTTCCGTCGCTATCGCAAATTAATTTCAGAGTTGGATCAAATGCATCGGAACTATGCCGCTCCATACGAAATTGCTCGAGAATTAGTAGACAACATGTGTCAGTTTCGTTTAAATGAAATCGCACAGTCTTTACTTCTATCAAAGCCAAGACCTGCCTACTATGATAAGATGACCATGATTACTGACTCTAACGGGGATGCGAACACACGGACGAAAGATGAGACCAATCTAGCTTTTCAACCATCAGCACAGCAGATTTGCAATCAGGACAATAGCGATGAATTCGAGTCACTACGTAGCAAAGAATCCTGCACACATACAACATCTGCAGCATTGTCAACTCAAGAACCTGTGGGTATACTCTGCCTACCTGTTCGACGAGCTCGCAATAAGCTCAAACTAGAAAATGTAGCAACAAAATCCAAAATAAACAAAGAAATCAATCAGCATGTGTTCGTAGACAGTTGCGCCAGAAGTGGTTATACGAGAGATGTGAATGGTGAATTTGATATAGCTTCCTCGCGCTCATTAGAAGTTGGGTATCAACCAGCAGATAAGACCAAACCACCAAGGACTAGAGAAATATCGATACAATCTAGTACAGCAGAGCAGTGTAACCAACCGACTGAGAAGGGTGTGCAATTCGATGGAGAACCAGTTTTGTATATCAAGCAGGAATTCATGGGGTTGACACAACCGGAGGAATGTCAGAATATCCGCATTTGTCATGGCACGCAAACCAGCTATTCCATTTCACTCGGAGGAGATCATGATGGTTTCAGTGAACTGGATGATTCACAGGATCTGGGTTGCCTTTCGGCCGGAGAGAGCTCTGTTGTTCGTACGGTGACGCAGTCTCCGCAGCCCATCGATGTGCAGCCTCCTCGTACACCTTTGTCGTCCACAATTGCAAAACCACTCGTCATCCGGAATCCGATGAGTCCAGTTGAAATTAATATGACGAGCTCTAACACTCCTCCTTCCTGCAACGAATCCAAAGGGTGTCCAGTGGAAACCCAGTCTACCGTAAGTTTTGCAGCTGCGTGTCAAGAAGGCGTAAATACGGTGGCCAGTTCAATCCAGGAAAGGACGCGCAGCGGGAATTCTGAAAGTGTTAGCATTCAACCGAACATGGTTGACTGTATATGCCCCTTAGCTCAGTCCACCGGACAAGGGACCCATTACAGTGGCCCCAACAAATCCACTGTAAGCGTATCCTGTCTTCCACGAGACGATCCAATTACGCTCATGAATGTGGCTAAACTGGTAGTGTTACCAAGTCCTTTACAATTGGATGATGACCCCGGGTTAACTACCACACCGCTGCTCTACAGATGCCACGTCGCAAGCTCCGCAACACAGACGGAGTTGAATGAGCAGTATGAAATCCAGCCGTCCGTTTCGCTCCCAGAACAACAATCAATTTCTTCGGACGTCATCTATGCGATCCAGTCTGCTCAAAGCAGTGACGAAAGATCAGAGTTAGTTCCGGAAAAACCGGTCACTGCATTAGATACCCGTGGAATGCCTTGCAAACGGGATAAAGTGACGATTACAGCCTATGCTCAAACTGGAAGCGAGTCAATGTTCTCTGTTCTAGGTGGTAGTGGCCGCGGTGTTATTGACAGCGTCAGCACTGTAGGCGTTGACCAAGATGCTAACGCTAAGCTCCATGCCAAGACAACCATTAATCAGGAAAATGTGTCCCCTCGAGCTGAATTTGCATCTACGTGTGTCTTGCAGGCCAAGCAACAACACGTTTTTGATGCCGGTATGGGTCACTGGAAAATAAGCAATTATAGTTTGCCTACCAGGTTGTCGGAGAGCAAGGAGAGGAAGGATGAACCCAATGAAATATCGGAAAGTTCAACGGTTTGGTCACATCCACATCTAGCAGAGGATAGAAAGCTGTCGCCGGAACGTGAATGCAAGTCAGAAAACGGATACTACGTACCTGTGATGCGAAGACCAGGAAGTATCCTGAGTGACTTGAGTCGCACACCTCTCTCAAGGGCACTTCAACGTAATGACATACATAGCGGAGACAGTAGACTGAGTGTTTGTGTTCCTAAGGCGAGGAGGAATGTGGCCTTTTTAACGCATCATGGTCGCGCACATAGCATACGACGACAGAAATGGACCAACGGAGACTTGGAGACGAATGATGCTGATACCAGCTCCTCGATTAGCCCCCCTCCCAAACCCGGGTTTCGAATGGGCAACAGATATTTTTATGAACAGAAAGACCCGATAATCTCGCAGAACACGGTGAGCAACAGAGGAAGAGCTCGTCATCCAAACTACGTACATAGAAGAAAAATCGACTCTAGGAATGCAACTCCGCAGCACCGATCCGTAGGAGATTATCGTACCTGTCTCAATTCGGGGTTACACGGACTGAGACGTCCCAACTCGACACCCCAAGTTGTAAGGCTATCGAGCTTAAACTCAGAGGGTACGAAAATCTTGGATGCACATAGTGTAAGGACCTCGGCTTCCACTGCTAGCTCACCAATTACTGGAAAAGTCAGCCAGTTAGGTCGCAGACAGCCAGTGAGTCCTGAACCCACCAGGTTTCGGCACGCAAACTGCTCCACACCAAGAAACATGCTGCCGCGTAGCACAAAGAAAATTAGCCGTTCTATCTCCAGTTTGGTGGATTCACACCGATGTCGTCGTCTTGGATCCTCTCATTCAACCGGGTGCGGTTCTGCTGTCTACAATCAGGAACAAAGCAACGATCCACACACACCCAGGCCGGGTAATACAAGCGGTCTACTGCGTCCAGCTTCAGGTGAGCCAAAGCTGGCACAACGAACACTCAGTACATACAACCGGCGGATGTCGCCTCGAAGATTACGATCGCTCAAAAGTCCCCATACGCATAACAGCACTCGCTGCAACGAGGACAGTCTGTTGCGTCACACATTTGCCTCCCTGCAAAAAGTTCGCACAAAAACACTGTGTTCCACACATGCAGCATGTCGCCCTCCGATGGTGTTCAAACGGTAGTGTCTACATTCTACCTTCATTCGACACGCATTTTCACTCACCCCGTCCGTGAAAATAGATGCTCTCTCTCTCATTCTACGAATTTTTGTACGATGCTAACTTCATCATCATTGACCTTACGCTTTCCAACAATTTGGGGTTGTTCATGCATGAAATAGAGATTAAAAGATGTCCCATCACTTACATTTGGGAAAAATGGATGAAAGATCACCACCCCGGGAACAAAGTGACTGCAAACAAAATACTCTGAGTTGTTATGCGGCGTTTATTTAATGGAAGAGCAGTTTATTGTCCAACATATTTCGGTTGACCAGAAATTATCAGAGATGTTCGATGGCTGTAGGATTCATATTGTAGGAAGAAGTAGAAACGAAGCAGACTCGAGTTAAAACCGAAGGACAAACCACAGAAGACCGGTGAGATACAGTCGGAGTGTACTACCTTGCTCGTAGGACTAGAATAGGATGGAATAGGCGATTAGACATGGTACTATATTTGGTCAGCAAATTACCGGCCTGCAATTTCACAGCAGTGTGCGTAGTTTTCTGAAACTCATTCTCTGGTTTTGATAACGGAGCCATAGAGTTGTTAAAGGATGCTAGTAGATTGGTAAGTAGTGCAGCAGCTTTGTCTTATTGATCTGTTGAATTCAACTCAGTAGAAGACAAGGCATATAACAATAATCCTCATATGAGTACTGGTAATTGGTGTAGTTCTTTTCAAGTGGGAAGCATTGTCCATATTTGACACAGCCACTATATATACAGACAGTATCACTCTCTTGCATGGACAATATGCAAGTGTACTTTCTAATTTCTCTGTGTTTCTGGCAGTATTTATGACCCATGTGTTTGTGTTTGACCGTAAGTTGAAGGGAAGCAGTGCGCTTCGAGAATATTGTGAACACCGACGCCCGCTTAGATTAAGTGAATTTCCCGATTTCACGGATTTGTTATATGGTGCCTCGCTACATAGATCTTCGGTCGATCTTCCTTGCGAAAACAAGGCCATAAGCGCGTCTAGTTTAGAGGGGCTTTCGAACTTAATATGAAATCTTTACGCAACCTCCCACGACCTGATTGTATTTTGGGGCCGATTTCACAACGCATCAGATTTAATGAAAAATAACGTGTACTGAATATTTTTCCTCCATCTTGATATCACTAGGTTAAAGTCGATATTGCTGAGGCCCCGAGCGAAACTTCCCTTTAATTTTTTTATGGGCAGGTTGCAATAGGCACTACCATAACTCAGATTGTGCAGCAATATCAAAGTATACTTTAATCCTCACATCCAAGATTTCTGGTGCAGCTTCCGATACTTCTTGGAAGATTCAATTTGGGTCTTGGTAGAGTTTTCCCCAGTAAGATTGTGATAAACTACCGCTGTTGACTCTATGGCTGTTCAGTCAGATTCATTCCTGCTACTACAACTTATGCTGCAGTACTCCAGAATGGGACGAATGAGAATATTATAAAGTTCAGCTCTCACTGAGATCGTATACAGCTTGTGAGATACATCAAAAGAGGATTATCTGATTCTTGCTCTCTGATATTCAGTTTGCTCGCGGAAGTCAAAGGTACAGAAATACTTGATTCTGAGATCGCGCGTAGACAATTTTACACAGATACATTCGTCTTAGAGTGTGATGGATCATTCGCGTATTAAGCCACGGCAACACATAATTGTGGATCTTTTTGCTGAGAACACAATCAGCCACTTGTCTAGCTATTTTAAGAGAATGAAAGTCATCATGAATGAGTAGTAGTAGGTTTTAAAGTTCAACTGGTCAGACCTAGGAGACAATCACTATATCATCGGCAAATAAGAACACATACCATGCTCAATAACCATCCTGATGTCATTGACATAAAGCAAAAAGAATAAAAGTCTGAACACACAATTTGTATAACTACACCGGTACTGATGCGGTGAAGTATGATGATCTCCTAAGGTGGCTATCTGAGATCGACCGTTCAGGTATGACGATGGTCAACCTAGTAGTATCTCCTGGACTTTAAAATACTGGCTTTAACATTAGCCACTTGTGGCGCTCCCGATGGAATGGTATTTGCAAGTCCAGGAATGGAATTGTGATAGCAAATCAATAGTCAATATCGTCCAATATGTAGCTTAACTAATCTAGCTGGCAGGTTGTGTACGATTCTTTGCCTAGGGAACCATGCTGGGACTTATTTATTGGCTCCAATGGATTTATGAAATTCATCGCACTTTTAATAACCACTTTTCGAATACTGTGGGGATAATAGGAGTGAGTTAGATTGGTGTTAAATTGTTGATTTTCTTTTTGAAGTCGCTCTTCTGGCGAGGGATGATAAAGGAAGTTTTTCATTGACCTCAAGCGTAGCTCGATCTCAGTTAAATGGTAAAATTATTCAGAAAAAAGGCAATTGCATGCGAGGTTATCTCACTTTCGTGGCGGATGAGGGTCACCATCGGAATGGAAGAGCGTGCAATAGAATTCATTGACTGTTGGATATTATGAAGAGAAATATCGATTGTACATGGCGGGTAGCCGGCTTACTTCCATGTGTGCATTTATTGGATTAGATCCCAGGCACTAGTGGTATACATGCAAGAGATTTGCCTTGGTTATATATATATATATATATATATATATATATATATATATATATATATATATATATATATATATATATGGTTGGCGGCATCCGGTTTCGGATTTGCCTGTCACTGTGGCAAGCCACAGGACGCCTGCGCCTACAGAGGGACCATGGATGGCTTGCGCTGCACCACCCACAGCTCCATCCACACACCCCATATCCAGTGTAAACCCGAAGGAATAAGACCGGGAGGCATGCGGATGGGAGCCACGTTTCATCAACGGAGCCGGCCCACACTCCTTCACAGACAAACACAAGCACGCTGTATTTGGGGAATCAAGTGCACACAAGGCGGTGGCTGGACCGTAGTCCGCTCCACACTGAGTGCATGGAACCACTCTTCGAGCCTAGCACGACCACGAGGACCGTGCACTCCGTCCCCTCCAGCAACGACCAACTGTCTCCTGGAGCCAGTATGGACGAGGTAGTGGGTAATAGACAGGTAGGCACCTTGTCAACATGCACATCAAGCGCAGCCACACCTGGGATGTCAAACAACAGCCAATCACTCGAAATGACAATATCGATTAAAGTAAACGCATGTGACGACATAAATACTCGCTAAATGAGCATATAGAAGAAATTGGTTATAAGTGAATCCGTGATAAGTACAAAATGTCCGAAAGTTATTTAAAAAATACCACGCGATAAAATTACACAAGTTTACCACAATTTGCGTGAGCGACGTGTGCAAGTAAGGAGAAGATTATCAAGTACGCAGAAAAAACCAAATAACATGGAATGAATTTTAGCCACATTAAAAAGACCTAGTTTAAGTGTAAGTTGGTTTAGCCCAACTGCGGTGAAGAAGCATCATGAATGCAACATCAGCCTCAGCAATGGGCAATATATATATATATATATATATATATATATATATATATATATATATATATATATATATATATATATATATATATATATATATATATATATATATATATAACCAAGTACTATCTCTTGAATGTAACTCGCGTAGTACACGTTGCAAACTTGTTGTTGATGGCATAATAGGAATTCATCTGACACGCAACAGTTTGAATTCCATGTGGTCAGCTGTGCTTGATTGCACGCGTTGTGCTCTAGGTAACAGGAACGGATAACTCAGGCCATAGCATCCGGTGTTAGACCAGATGTTAGACGGCCTGGTTTTTATCGACTTATCGAAAACTGATGTGAGTTAGGGTTACCTGAACTTAATGGTCCACCAGGAAATACTCCTTGACAGAATAGAACATCAACGGTATATTTCTCGTGTTACTTTAACCATAGTGCCATAGGGACCGATTATATTTGCATAGGCGGCGTGCGCATGCGATCATTGCAATCCAGTGTTTAGGTGAATGCAGCCATTCAGTTTCGATAAAAATTCTTTGAGACGATGGTGTATTGCGGGTTAAAAACGCAATGCCTATTAAGTTTCGTAAGAGAATCAGGATGAGGAGCACTAATGGATCATGTAGAGAAAATAAAAATGTCTCGTTAGACTTATGGCGGTGTTCATACGGAAGCGGACATACATCACGATAACTTCACTGGTAACTACACTGGTTGCCACGTTGTGTCATGGCCAAATGTGTATAGGCCATACTGCGTGATGTAGGCGTGTTAAGGCTACGTCAAGGGGTGTTTTAAACGCGGATGTCGTGGAGGCGGAAACCAGATACTTGGAAATGGCGTTCCGTGGCTGGCACACACGAACAGAGAAGGACTTCTGATAACAGGCCAGACGACCGTATTACATGGCAAACTTAGAATGCAGGTCACTTTGGTTTGTACTTTAACTGAATTACAGAAGGTGGTAACATACGAGGTTTGAGGTTGCTCAGAACTTGATAAATCACTATTAAGTCGCCCTGTAGTCTCCGAAACTGATCACTGGAACATCTTTGGGTCCGTATCCTAAGTTGACATGGAAGGGGAAATAACCCCTTCAGGTACTTGTTTACACCTTGTGGTGGTGTCCCAAGACCGTACTACTGTCAACCTGTCATCTCTGGACCGGAGATTTTGCATAAGACCGCACGTTGTGGTTAAACGCCTGCGAACAAATGGCTTCAGCAATGTAACCGAATGCTCTCCGTGGATGACCAAAGTGTTGAATCCAGTCTTTGACATCGCAACAGTTTGCGTTGCGCAGACGAAGTCGTTCTGAATTGGTAGCCCAAGGACACACTCCTGAGAGGCAGCGCTCAGAAAAGCTGTCTACAAGCTAGTCTGTTATTTTCTGCTAATAACGAATGTTGACAAACACACATTTAGAATTATTAAGTTAAAGCAGATCATCGCACGACCATTTATAGACGCTGTGCAGGTCTTGTCATAGTGCCTGGTGAGCTCCATGACATGTGATTGTCCATGTAATCTTAACACTACCAGCAAATGTAAGCTATTCTGGGCATATATTCACTTAAGTGCAGTGTTGAGCACAAGGAACAATCATGGCCTTAGTGCTGACCTTTTCTGACACTATGAATTCGACATAAAATGGAATCGAGCAAGGCACTCCGAAATCTAACCTGCATTTTCAGGGGTTGCAGAAGACTCTCGATTCCTCAGAAAACAAAATCCCGAACCCTTTAACGTTGGAGCCTGTGGCGAAGAGTACTGTGGCTGTCCTGTCGAACGACCTCGTAGTGCCAGCTTAGTGGTTCGGGTATTTCCTGTACCGGCGAATGCTTCGGCGGCGGTGTTCCAGGACTTGGCGGGTTTCCGCCTGACAAGAGTTCTCTTTATAAAAAGCCACAATTGTCCGTTTAACAACACTGCAACAAGGCCGATGTGACTCGCCACTAACTAAAGCCACTGCTTCTTGTCCTCTCGGAGACATTGTATACCGGCAAGAAATCCGAGCATCGGATTCTGTCTTTGACTTCCGGAGTATTGGGCACCTGGTATGGCATTTCGTTATCCAAAAGGCGTATGAACTGAATGTTCAGTCACCGTCTCCCAGCGGCAGCGAAACACTTATTACGTCCTGCTGCCTTGTGGGCGTTTGGCCCTTAGGCCAAAGGATCGGAGCCGTGGTCCCCTAAGACAACCCACCTACTTCGGCCT